AAGCAGCCTGTCAAAGTCACACAGTTATCAACTGGCAAAATTTCCAGATGACTGTAGTAAGCTGTTGCTGATAGTTGTCCACGCTGATGTTGGCTCATGTTGCATGCTGAATGGAGAACATATGGTTGTGAGAGAAGCTAAGGGAAAAGTCACTGGTAACACCATTCCAATTCAGTTTCACGAAGATCACAGAAACCTATTCCAATAAACACTAATTGCAAAACATGCAATGCAAATTCTAAAATTTACTAATCTACCATAATGAAGCTCTGATAGCGTGGTGGTAAGGTGAGCTGCCAACCCAAAGGCATGTGGTTCCAAACCACCCAACACTGTACAGGGAAAAGATGGGCAGTCTCCTCCTGTGCAATTTACAGCCTCTGAAAATCTGCTGGAGAGTCAGCTGTAAGTTGGTTCTGATGTGACTGCCCATAACAACAATCCTACCATTAATAGCTGTGTGACATGGGGCAAGTTATAAAACTAACATTTGTTTTCTTGGAAAGGGGCATTAAAGAAAGGGAAATCATAAAGAGGTATAGAAAAATTCATGAAAATAAGAATTATGAGGAGGGAGTGGATATTGAAACTAACGTCACTGTCACAGAACAAAATTTGTATGAGTGGTTGAATGAATTACTAATTTTTTGGTAAACTTTCACTCAAATCACAATACAAAAGAAATTAATAAAAAAATAAAGCCCCATTTTATCATTTTTTAAAGTAAGATGGTAGCCCCTGCCTTAAGGCTTGTTATGAACATTTCTTGCAAAGTGTTTTAACCAAAAATCTGCAAATTCAATCTAATCACAAGAAAACATTAGACAACTGCAACAGATTCATTCTACAAAGTAATTAATCAGTATTCTTAAAAAGTGTCAAGGTCATGAAAGAGTGCTGGAGTGTCATAGACGGGAACAGATCAAGGTGATTTAACAACTAGATGCCATGAGCAGTCCTGGATTTTCTCTCGGATGGGAAAAAAAAATCTAATGAGAAAACTAATGAAACTGGCATGAGATCCAAGTAAACAGCATTGTGTTAATGCCATTTTCTTTATTTTGATAATTACTACGATTATATAAAAAGCTTGATGACATGTTTATAGGAATTCTTTTAATTATTTTTGCCACTTTTCTATAAATTTAAAATATTGTTTTAAAAAATTTTTTTTGAAGTAGTTAATAAACTAACAACCTCGGTTCCTTCATCACATAACTATACTGTTGAATCATTGTGAGAACTGACCACAACACAACTGGCCACAACACAAGCTTTGCTCCTTGGAGGTGAGCATGGCAAAACTTCATTTCAAATATTTTGGGCATCTTGTTAGGAGAGAACATTCCTTGAAAAAAGATATCATGATGGGAAAGGTGGAGAGTCAGTGAACAAGAGGAAGATCCTGAACAAGATGGACTGACACAATGACAGTGAAAACAGGTTCAAGCATGATGAAGATGATGAGGATGGCATAGGATGAGGTTCAGAACTATTGATCATAGGGTCACTATGAGTCATACTTAACTCAGTAGGACCTGACAACAACCATGCTAGTAAACAGTAGAAACTACACACTAGCATGGACCCAAACTATATTCCTTTAGAAGAACATTAAGCTGGGAAGGGTGGAGGGTCAGCGAAGCAATAAGACCATCAACCTGGTGGACTGATATGGTTACTGCTGCAATGGTCTCTTCTGTGTCAGAAGTGTGAGGATAGTGCAGGATAGAAAAGGGTTCACATCTTTTGTTCATAGGGTCACTATGAGTTGTCCTCGACTCAACAGCGCCTAACCACAACAAGTGTTCTGTTGATCTGAAATATAATGTGAATGTCGTATACTTCAACTAGATGCTCTGAAATAATCTTGCAAGAATATCACCTATCAATATTTCAATCATTGTACAATTTGATTATAAGTTAGTGCTTAAAGAAGCATAAATGCTGTTTGATGAATGACAACAGGCTTAACTTTGCTTAATGCCATCAGCATTTAAACATAACATCAGCTATTCATTTCTCTGTTCCTCTGACTACTGTCATCTTGTCAGATGTCAACACTTTTCTGTTGGGGAACACCTGACAAAATAAACCATTTTCATATAAATTGTAGGTTGTCCACAATGAGTAGTGTTTAATAACCCACTATCCCAGCTTTCCCTATTTATTTATTTATTTTTGTGAACTTGGGTTTATAGGTTGTCTTGGAGCACACAAGCATGCCAGGAATGGTGACTAATGGTATAATCAATATCAAGCTTATTGCCCAAGATTTAAAAAAAAATAATTAAAAATAAATAAAAATAGGAAAATAATCTAGGAATCAGCGTGCTCTATCAGTTATAGCTTCTAACAAAGCAATGCTATAGCTTATATGCATTTGCTTCTCATACCAGGAAGCAATTGTACAGACAAAATGAATAATATAGAACTTGTTACCTCTCGATTTTTTATAGAGTTGTCCATATGATAAATACATATTTCTGTTGTATGATTCTCATGCAAAATATATATTTTCTCCCCCCACAAAGTTATGAGATATCATAAAAATGTCTCTACTGCATCTGGTCTAAGAATCCAATTCTTCCTTCACATATTTCGGCATCTGTTCACAGAATCATTTTGACTTCAAAGGAAATTTTTCAGGAGGAAAAGAAGATACATGCAGGAAAAGTGGCCATAAATTTTTAGTAGTCCTTCTCTAAGCCATTTTAATAACATTGCTGTTGGACAAGTGTCTCTCTTAGAAAACTAAAATATGGCAAATGATATTAAAATGACACATTCACTGAGAGATTTATGTTTTAAATTTTTCTAGGTATAAAATTGATAAAGCTTCACTACAGAGTATGTGAACAATATAGTAAGTCTAAAAGAGACAAGTTAAATAATTTTTAATTCACTAGCGACTAAGACAAAACCAAAACAATGGGCTATTTCCCCCCTTTCTTTCTGTGTATTTATATATTTATATACAAACATGATATTATAATCATAATGTGAATAAAGAACTACATTAGTTTAAAAATGTAGGAAGATTTATACTTTAAAAATGTTTCCACTTACATCTCATTTGACTTTTAGTATATTCAAAGCTAAATTAAAGATTTGAACATGCTAATTTGTTCTAAAAATTCTTCACCTTGAGCTGATCAAAATTGATAAATTAAACAATAACTCTATTAATAATGGTACTGAAACAATAGTACAAGTTTAAGAAACCTTTTCTTATGATTTCTTATGATGATTGAGTACCCTAAATATTATGGGTTCTAGTTTGTGTCCCTTTTTATTTTGGTTTCCTGTTCTAAAGATATCCTTAACTGTTGAGTTTGGAAGGGGAAGTTTGGGTATAAATCTTTGTTATTTTGGAAGCATAGATTTTACCATGCTAGCTTGGGAGTGTGGAGGGATGTCGCAGAGGGGAAGGCCCTCTATGAGGTGGATTGATTCGGTGACTGGGGTAATCCGGATAGGTGTGTCAGAGGCAATGCGATTGGCACAGGATGGAGCAGGGTTTAGGGCTGTTCTACATAGGGTCGCTATGAGTCGCAAGCGACTCGACGGCACATAACGACAACAGCAACAGCATTAGCTGTCATGAGTTTCAGTGCTGTGGCTCATTAACAAGTTGGGCTGACAAAGGAAAGATCTGAGTTCAGGGGCAGTTTACTACAGAAAGATATGCACTCTCCTACACGGTTTCATAGCTTCTAGAAATTTGATGATCATCACGACTCAATAGTAGTTGACATGCAGTACTACTAATTATAGTAATGAATGAACAAATTTTAGTGGTTTGCAGAATCAAACTCAAATATAAGAAAAAATATTTGATGGACTTAGCTAATTTTGAATGAACTCTTATATTGCTGTCTGAAATACTCAAATAAAATTTGGATTTTTTTTTTCCAAATAACTTTCTAGTATTTCTAGGTCTCTTTATCCTTGTAAGATGATGAACACTGAAGCTTAGAAAACAGTGTATAAAATGAGAAAAGTTAAGCAGAGTTTAAATCTGTATTTTAATAATTCGCTTTTACTTTAGTAATCATGAAGCTATAATCCCAAAATTTGAACAGCACTAACTTCTCAATCAGTCCAACCCTTCTTAGTTCTATTTTACTAAAGAAAATAAACTCTTGTTACTGTTTATTGGCAGATTGTATTGTCATATGAAACAGCCAAGTGGCAGATAAAGTCCTTGACCCAGAGGTTTCCAACTTTCAGTTGCAGTAAATCTCACACCTATGGATCATGACAATGAATACACAACGATGCCAGGAAAACCTAATTACAGAATCTTAAATTTCTCTCCAGTTCCCACTGTTGTCTCCCTAGATAACATCAAAATGTTTACCACTGAAATTGCGCTTTTGAGTACGCTAAGGAAATGTGTGAAGGAGTGAAAAGAAACAAACATCTTCACACAACAAATTTCCTTTCATTTAGTTGTCTCCCTTTCTTTGTTATGAGGGCAAAAAATCTCTCATACTTAAACACAAAAAGCCATGCGACGTGTCAGGAAAAGTATCTGTGCCTAGAATAGGAGAACGCGATTTGATAGTCCACGGTCCAAATTGCACAATCCCTATCATAAAACGCCTTTTCTAACATCTTGGACGGCCACTGGAATTGCTGTTAGCGAAAGTAAGATTAAACCAGCAGGGGAGTCTGGAAGAAGGTAGTACCAGAATGATCAGGTCTAAGTTTTCTAGCTTTCCGCGTTGCCTGGCAACCACAGCACTGCCGCGAAAATTTCCAAACCACCGAGATTACGTGACAGGTAGTGGCTTGCTCCTCCCACTAGAGGACTTTACGTCACCACGCACCTCAGGAACGTTGTCACGCTCAGGGTAAACGCAGGGTTAGCTGAACTGACGGAAGAAAATGAGTCGATACCCTCCCAGAGAAGGCTAGAAAATAAAAGTAGTTGGAAGGAGGGAAGAAGAATAACAGAATAGGAAGTTAGCCAAAGAAAGACTGTTTTGAGTTACCTGAAAAGAAGGAGCAGGTTGGGTCGCTTTATGAAGTGCCCGGATGAAGCCCCAGCTCCCACGCGCTTTCCGCATTAAGTGCAGCGCCATCTTGAGATGGGCGGGGCTGTCTTGTCTTCATGACGTCACTCCGGAAGCCAGACCCAATGCCACTGCTCCCTTTGCTTCCCGCGCATGCTCGAGTCCTACTGGCCGACTTTTGTGCCACGGCCCGGGGCGTAAGGAGTTTATACAGTAGGTGGAACTAGGAAACAGGTGGGGCTTGGTTCTTGTGTTCTAGGATATAGTCTTCACTCAGGCATCCGAAGGGAGAATTTTCTAGTGTATTAATAGTAGCGATATGTACTGGAAAGAAAGTCTAGTTGTTGCTGTTGTTAGATGCCTGCTAGTCAAGTACGATTCATAGCGACCTTATGAACAACAGACCTGGCCCTTTCCTATCTTGTGCTATCTCATTATCCCTGAAACACTCAAGTCCATTGCTGCAGTCACTATGTCAGTCCACCTTGTTGAGAGTTTTCCTGTCTTTCACTGACTTTCTGCCTTTCCAAGGAATGTTGTTATGTGCCCCTGAGTCTCTTGAGACTCATAGTGACTCTATGCACAACAGCCCTAAACCCTGCTCTATCCTGTGCCAATCGCACTGTCTCTGACACACCCATCCCGATTACCCCAGTCACTGAATCAGTCCACCTTATAGAAGGTCTTCCCCTCCTGGGCTGTCCCTCCACCCTCCCAAGCATGATTTCCCTTTCCAAGGACCGGTCCCTCCTTACAGCATGTCCAAAGTATGTCAGACGAAGCCCCAGAATACTTGCGTTCAAAGAGCAGCCTTCTTTAACCCTCTCCAGGATGAATCTTTTTTTTTTTCCTAGCAGTCCATGGTACCTTTAATACTCTCTTTCAGCACCACAGCTCAAAGGCATCTATTCTCCTTCTGTCCTCCCTAGCCATTGTCCAACTCTCTGATGCATAACAAGTGATTGCAAAGACCATGGCCTGTATCAGGTGCACCTTAGTCTCCAGAGAGACACCATTGTTCTTCAGTACTTTGGAGAGGTCCCTAACAGCAGACTTTCCCATCACAATATGTCTTTTAATTTCCTGACTGCTGGTGCCAAGAGTGTTGATTGTGGAGCCAAGCAGACTAAAGCTGTGAACAATCTCAATCTCTTCACCATCCATCCTGTTGCTGCCAATTGGTCCAGTGGTGAGAATCTTTGTCTTGTTGAGACTGATCTTCAATCCATACTGAAGGCTGCAGTCCTTGACCCCCTGCAGCAAGTGCTTCAGGTCCTCAGTTTCAGCAAACAGGGTTGTGTCATCAGTATAACACAGATTGTTGATAGATCTTCCACCAATCCTGAAGCCACACCTCTCTCTCCTCACCCTTTCAGATACTCTGTTCTGCATACAGAATAGACTCATAACAACATGCCCAAAATATGTGAAACACAGTTTAGCCATCCTTGCCTCCATGGAGCATTCTGGCTGTACTTGTTCCAAAACATAACTGTTTGGATTTTTGCCAGTACATGGGATGTTCAGTGCTTTTAAACACCACAATTCAAAAGCGTGTATTATTTTCTCATCCTTGCTCATTGTCTAGCTCTTAAATGCATAGCAAGTGATTGAAAAGACAATGGCCTGAATCACGTGTACCTTAAGCCCTCACATTGATAGCATTGCTGTTCAGTAATATGGAGAGAATCTAACAGTGGATTTGCTCAAAGAAGTAACATGTCTCTTGATCTCCTGACTCCTGGTACCAAACGTGTTGAATGTGGATCTAAGTTAAGATGACAGTATGACAGTTTCAATCTTTTTTCATTTATCATGCTATTGCCTATCAAATTTTACTGCCTTTGAAAACCTGCTAACAGGTCAGCTCTGAGTGGATTCTGACTCCATAATACATAGCCACCATTCTGGAAGATGGTTGTTGAGACTTTTGGTGCCTCTGATGCATTTAGTTTGAAAACCCTTGTTGAACTGTACCATATTAGGTACATTTCTTCAAGAAGCGTATGACCTACTGAGGCAAAAAATTAATAAATGAGGATTAAAGCAGAAGCAGACAAGATGAGAAGGAAGAGAGGTAAAAGTATGATGTGCCAACCTGTCCAGGAAGGTTGCTGTTTTGTACTATCAAGTTGAAATTGACCCATAGCTGATCCTCCAATGGGCTTTCAGAGGCAGTAAATCACACGGAGGAGTTTGTGCATCTTTCTTCTGCAGAACAGCTGGCAGAACTACATGGCTTTGGCTTAACAGCTTTCCTCTTTTCCACTAGCTAAGAACTAAGCTAGCAGAACTGCCTAGGAAGTTTGTACTTTGTGGAATAAATGGTTTTTAGTCAAAACTCATCCTCTGCTGATGCCTCATCGTGACTCATCATGATCCTATAGGACAAAGTTGAACTACCTCAGCTTTGAGATTCCACAGCTAAATCTTTACAGAAGCAAATTGCCACATCTTTCTCCTAGTTCGTTTTTTTTTAAATCAATTATGAGATGCTAACTTATGTGTCTGCTAATGCTTAAGTACTAAAAAAACCCCGTATTGCTGTAGAGTCAGAACAATTTGTAATGGACCCTCCAATGGCTTTTCACAGACTGTAAATCACAAAGGAAGAGATTGCTCATCTCTTTTCTAATGGAGTCACTGATGGATTTGAACTAACAAGGGACCCCCCTCCCACCACTGGGCTAACAGCAGTTGTTACCATTTGGCCTATGTCGGTGCAGACATCAATACAATTAATGTTCAGACCAGTGAGAACCAATCAGTAAAAAAAAAGGTATCTTGAAGATATTTCCCATAATTCATTTATTTGTTTTATTACATTTATTCATTAAATAAATATTGATAATTATGATATTTGAATAATAAGAGAGAAAATGGTAAATTAAAATCATACAATAAAATCTCACAAGAGAAAAAAATGTGCTGAACTTCAAGCACAATTGGTATGATTTCTGAGGAGGGAAGGAATTACAGAAATAGAATAAATATCCTAAGGAAGTATTTCTCATTCTTCAGCAAAATTGATCCATTTGCTTTTATTTTTAGGAAGTGTTTGAAGTATTTGTAATATATCCAAATATATTGCCCACTGGATTATATACATGAATCTGGAGCTCAGGAGAGAAGCTTATCCTACAAAACAGATTATTATAGAAACCAAGAAAGCCTTGAGAACACCAAGAAGACCGGAATAAAAGTGGTCTGAGGATAGAAATAAAAGAACCCAAAGAATGTTGTTGGTTTGTTTTTTTTTTTATTTTATTGGGAAAAACATAATGGGGGTACAAGGAGGTGAAGTTTGGGGGCAGAAGGGTGAGGATGGACAGGGATTTGGTTGGTGGGGGGAGCAGGTGAAGGAAATGAAAAGGATCCAGTGGGGACCAGATGCTACAGGGGAATGGTAAGCATTTTCCAATGGCAATTAAACCAACTGTCTTATTGATTTGGGAACTGGATGCAGACTCTCTAGCTTCATGCTGAACAGGGGCGTTGATGTGAAGGGGGAAAGGAAGGACACTTTATCGCCTTAATGGTGGTCTAGAGAACCCAAAGAATGTATTTTTAAAGCCAAGAGAGGTCATAGATTGAGTTTTATAAAGTTGTGCAGTATCCCTGTAAACATGTAGGTATATAAATGCCTTAAGTATTTAGTATTCATTCATATATGCATAACAAAGCATTATAATACAGTTTCCTTCAGATAATGTTATTAAGTAAATAATATGACCCTGGCATTTAGCAATATTCTATTGTACAAGGAGTTTTGTTAGAGAATTTGTTGAAAAGAGCTTGCCAGCCCTTTTTTCCTGGTCTGTCTGGAAGCTCCACAACAGTAAATACGAGCATGGAATTGGCAAGCTTTGACATCCCCAGCCATCCAGATTCCATGGTAAAATGAAGCAACAAGACTGTAATGTAGTAGAAAGCTATCATAGAGACTGGGTCGACTTTTGCTTTATAGCCTGTATTAGGTTTTAGTTTATTATCTAAGATTCATGAGTGATAGTCATGGGAAAGAATTCTAAGACATATTCTTGTTGAAGGCAGTATGTAAAAAATTTTTATTGTTGCTCTGTGCCAGCAAATTGAGTGAAGCTCATAGGAACCCTATGGCCAACAGATCTGAACTTTGTTCTATCCTGCACCAGCGTCATCTCTGGCATACTTGAGGCCATTGTCACAGTCACTGTGTCTATCCATCTCATTGGGGGTCTTCCTTTCACTGATCTTTCACCTTTCCAATCATGATGTCTTTCCCCTCCCAATAATATGTCCAAAGTATGTGAGATGAGACTTTGTTATTCTTTCATTTAAGGAGTACTCTGGTTACACCTCTGCCAAACATCTATTTGTTCTTTTGTCAGTACATGGGATGTTCAGTACTATTCTCTAACACCAGAACTCAAAGCCATTATTTCTTTTGCTGTCATCCTTATCCAGCTCTCAGACACATAGCAAGTAATTGCAAAGAAAATGACTCAGATTACGCACAACTTAATTTCCAAGCTGACATCATTGCTCCTCGTATTTTGGAAAGTTCGGTTATAGCCAACTTTCCCCATGTAATATATCTGTTGATTCTTGATTACTAGTACTACGGCTGTTCATTGTTGATCCAGCAAAATGAAATTACAATTTCAATCTTTTCTCTATCTATGATGGTATTCACATGGACCTCACCTTAAGGACTTAGGAATCAGATTGAATACCTCTGTGGAAGGAATTGTTGGAGAATCTTACTAAAAGCAGTCAAAACAAGGCCAAGGACAGACTATGGGTCCGACCATCAGTTACTCATGTGCAAGTTATAATTGAGGCTGAAGAAATTTAAAACAAGTCCATTAGAACCAAAATATGATCTTAAGTCTATATTTTACATGAATTTAAAAATAATCTTAAGAATAGGTTTGAAGCATTGAACACCAATTCCAGATGAGTTTTGTGATGACATCAAGGATATTATCCATAAAAAGAGAAAAAGGGCATTACAAAGACAGAGGAGACAAGAAAAAAAAACCAAAGTGGATGTCAAAAGAGACATAAGATTGCACTGGAGCATTGAAAAGCCAAAACTAAGAGAAG